GGGCTCTGGCAGCCATTTAAAGGGTCTGGGGCAATCGCCTCTTTGAATCATTGGGCCCTGGGGCAGTTGCCCTTTTGCCCCCGAACTCCGCCTGGGGGCCTGGTCAGAGGCATCCTAGAAGCAAATGCATCAGTGAATCCTACCCATTTGTTTGGTTTGGAAAGCAAAGTAAAGGGGCTACCAGTTGGGGAGACATTCCTAGAATGAGTCGGAGGACTTAGCTTTCAGAGGCAGTAATTAATACTCAGTGGAGTGGGATGAAACAGAGCAGTGCCCTGACTGGCCATTGGGTGGCAGCACTGCTTCAGGGGAAGTGGTAGGGTGGGGGTATGAGCATACAGCCCAGATTTCTGAAGTGCTAAGCACCTGGGGCAGAATTTTGAAAGCGCTCACCTCCCATTTAGCCATCTACATAAGATTTTCAAAGGCACTCAGTTCCCATGATGACAGTTACGGGCAGCTAAGCTCTTCTGAAAAAAATCTGGCCACATCTTTTGTGACCTAAATGGGAGTGAACAGTTTTGAAAGTTTGGCCCTCTTGTATCTCCATGAGCTTATGCAGCCAGTGTGAGAAAGTCCATCTAAGGCCTTCAATGGTGAGATTAAGAAGAGTGGTCCAGATGGACGGGGAAGCGTTCAAAGAGAGAATTTCTGAATAGTCTGTGTCTGTTTAATATGAACCTTTGTGTGGGAGGTTGAGGTCAAGGTAACCCTTCCAAGTGTTTTGTAGGTGACTGATGTGCTATGGCCACCCATGCTGTTACCTCTGGTGCGGGGAAAGGGCTGTCTGAAAAACAGACACAGACTTAACAGCTGGTTTTGTCCCTGGATTTCATCAACACTGTCCAGCGATCCTGTTCCTTGCATGATCAGAGCCCTGCCCAGTCAGTGACAGCTAAATAGCGACATATGCTAGATTAGAAAGGTACTTTGGGCACATGCACCACGTTGTGTGTGTTTAGGGGGAGCTCATATGTGTATAACAACTGATCTGAGAATTCACTGTCTCCTCCATACCTTGAAGAGGCGCTTGCTTTAAGCACAGGAGACACTTCCTCAACCGAGGGGTTAAAACTATAATCAGAACCACCAAGCCTCCTATACCAGCTGCCACAACCCCAATGATTGTTCCAATGGATTCTTCGATGCCAAACAACCCTAAGGAAAAAGACACAGTAACACAAGCCATATTACAGGGGGATATATGCCATGTCAGGTACTACACTGGAGACCTTTTGAGACGTTTACTGGTTTCTAAAATATCCCACAGAAGTTGTTGCCTACTGTGATACAGATTATACTGGTTTCTTGATAGGCAAGAAACTGCAGCAGATCACTTTGATCCTACCCATTTGTTAAAAGCATTTTCCGTTAAAAGCATTTCCGGAAAATCATGCCAGTGTAGACGTAGCCTATGGGCATTGGAGACAGTGTATTGCACTGTACTTCATACTGATTTGTTTCAGTGCAAGGCTGTAGGGCTGTGTTATGCAATTGTGTTATACTGGCAGTGAATTATAATTCAGGCTGCATTTATGAGGCTCTCCCCTGTATTCTTCATGTGCATGGGATATGAGCAAACAGTTGTACCTTGCAATATTCTGAATATGGAACTTTTCCACAATGCTACAAAGGAGACAACACCAAAGAGAGGTAAGCTTGGAGGTCATTTGTTTCTCACTGGGACATGGGGGCATTCACCTCTAGTTGTCTGTTAGAGACGTGACAATTCCATATTCTTTGGGATCATTGCGTCCTGCGGTCATGGATCAAAATTCACTGGAACTGAGTGTTGCCTAGGGAACATAGAAGGTCTCTGATCTGGGGAGGGCGGTAGAATGGAAAAACCGCAAGAGGAAGCATGCCTTTGGGAAGAAGGAAGTAAATGGGAGAATAAGTCAAGTATCAGCCGGGGAGGGCGGGGGAAGAGGGACCTGCCATTGTGTAATGGTCATAGTTGTGCACATTTTACCTTCACATCCAAAAGGCAATCGTTTCCCCAACAAAACTACCCGACTGATGTACAATCGGACCTAGATCAGGTATTCCTTACATACCATGCACTAGAAAATGTGGACAAGTTGGTTAACTGTGATGGGTACAGGACAGTTTCTGAGGTCCTTACTCAATTTGTAATAAGTCCTCAATTTGGAGAACACCTGCTGACTTCAAATGGCACACTCCTCTAGTTTGGTCAAGAGGTGGACTAGTCCTCTTAGTAAGTCTTCTCCATCTCTAAAGCTTTGATTTATTTAGCATAATCAGTTTGAGGAGGCCCAATATTTGTGGTAAATAATATCTCCTGGTGGTTAGATTTCTCTCATTCCCTGGACCCTTTAATTTAACCGTACTGCATTCCAGTACGTAAAAGATGCATTCTAGTGCCTCCGGCTGATGGATCGGCCATGAAGCACACCTTGTGGGCATGACGTTTATTAATGATGCTATCAAAACAATGTGAGATTTCACCAGACAATGGCCATCTTTTGAGAAGCGTATCCCAATGTCACCGTTACTTAACCAATTAACATCAGTTCCAGGCTTCCTCTGCCATCTACTAGTGCACAAACCAACTCGGAGAGGGGGATGGGTGTGGGAAGGAGAGAATTGAAATGAAGATAAACTGTTACCCAGTGCCCTCCTGATCCTGAGCTTTGTGCCACTTCCTGTCACCACTTTCCCACTGGACCATGTCACCTGGCAGAAATAGATGCCATGATCCCTGGCTGTCACATTGAGGATAGTCAGGGAGGCATCTCCCTGGGTTAGGTTCCCATTTAAGAACGCCCTGGAGTAGTTTGTCAAAAGAGTCACATTGTTCTCCAGTAGGTCCCACTGCCCCTTTTCATCCTCTTTGTACCACTTCACTGTCAGCTTGTTCAGAGATGGACCCCAGGGACTGTGAAACTGGCAGTTCAGGACCACGGTTTCGCCTTCTTTGGCTTTCTCCTTGGCTGGGGTCTGAGACACAAATGGAAGCCCTGGCTCGTGGGTGGTCACCACTGGGGGCAGCACCACTTTGTAGGCTGTTGCAGGAGAGCTGAAGGGGACGGTTGCATTCTCCTTCACTGCATCTTCAGCGCCGATGTAGGCAGCTGCATAGAAAGAGAGAAAGGTGAATGGTATTGAAGTTAAGGGAAAATTACTGTCTGGATGTTTCCTAACAGTGACCACTGAAGAGCACTGAGTGGAGTCTGAAGGCAGCAACTACCGTTATGAGATTGGCCCTTTCCCAGGTCATAGTCCTCATTTTTGGACTAGTCCTTTCCTGATCCTCATTGCTTCCTTCCCAATGACCCTCAAGAGATGGATTGTTATGTTCACAGCCTATATTCCCTTGCTGCTTCTCACTCGTCCCACCCCAGCAAACCCTGGAACAACAGCTTCTGACCTTACGTATTTTTTAGGGGAAGGTGTATCCTGCAGGGTGAGTGAAAGGCAGAGGTTGTTTGGATGACTGCAGTGAGCTTGGCTGGCTGGTTTTTCAGGTGACCAAATAATCTCAGCACATATTTACGAAGGCCAAGGGTTTTTTGAACATGGGTGCCTAGTGTCAGGCTCTTCAGTCCATATTTAGGTACCTAACTGGGGGACTTGATTTTCAAAAGTATCAAAGCCAGTAGGATCTGCTAGATACTTAGGACAGCTGAAAATGTGCCTAGGACCTCTGTGTTTAGGAAACCATTTTTTAAAAATCTTGGCCCCAAACTTTTGGCAGGGCTGGGAGTGTTTGCAAACTCATAAACCCTCCAACCCAAGTCTCTGCTTAAATGAATTTAAGGGTGAATATGAATATTTCCCATAGCGCTAGTATTTTCCTCTTTTAAATATACTCCCTGGCAACTTGCAACCTGAGAGATCCTTATTTTTATCCCCACTGCCCTCAATTCCAAGAGCTCCAGGCAGAATAGAGCTTCGGAAGTGGTGTTAGATTAGCAGCAGACACCCAGTTGTGTCCAAGCCACCAAAGGGAAGCTCCCACACAGTGGTGAAAGAGAGAGAAAATGATGGAAAGCAAATTGAGAAAAAATTTTACACAAGGGAGGAGATGGAATGAGGCCAGGAAAAAAGCAAAGAGAGAGCAACAAAGCTAAAAAGACAGCAAGTTTTGGAGGGGAAATTGGGAAGAGGGGACAATATGATAGAAAGAGAGGAGAGGAGGTAGAGGAGAGACTAGAGAGAAATTAAAAGGCAGGGAAGAAGAGAACTTAACTAGCCAAAAGAGGCCAAGAATGAAGGTTACATAAGTAGATCCTTTATGGGTCATAGCGTGAAGGACAAATATTGGACTTGATTTGGTGTTTGCTCAATGGAATGGTGATTGGTAATCAGCCCATTCACTGTATCTCTTCTTCAGCACATGAAGGTTGGAAGCCGATAGTATACAAATGTCCTATAATGTATTGACAGCTGGTATCTTGATAGACAGAGGAGTATGCAAGGCCACTGCCAATAGACTTTTATCTGTTTATTAACAAGTCTATTGACAGTACCCAGATTGATGTTCAAAACCAGAGGGACAGGCAGCAGTATCCTGCTACTATAAATCTATATATATATATATATATAAATAGCATCTTGAGCTTTTGAGGTCAAAACCCACTGCTCATCTGAGGATCTAAGTACTGCCCAGGAAAGCTTATGATACTAAATATATATGGAGATGCTATGCAGAGATTTCAAACCACATTTCAAACCTCCGGTGCTACTAATGATAGTATCAAAGAGCCATGAGCTCTGGTACAGCTGAATGCTCATCATTTCTGGAACCAAACCTCAGCTCACAAAACAGAAGGAATCTTTTCTCTCTCAAATGCCTAACTAGAATAACTGGATGGGGTACTAAGCACTAACATTAAACAGCAATAGAAGGTTTAGAACTAATTTTTAAAATTAATAGTTCCTGTTTTCCCAATAACCACCTAGATGGAATACAAGACATGACGTAAAGAGGGGTTGATTTTCCATTCCATTGCTGTTGCCATTTACAGAGTCAAGAGAGTACCAAATGCTGACATTTTTCTTGGGTAATGTTTAAGCCTCTTGCTGCCTTCACTGTACACAGTTGAACATAATGACCCAAAGTACCCGGCAGTGGAGAATCAAATAATGATTCTCCAGGTTATGCATGATCAACACACACACACACACTCTCTCTCTCTTTCTCTTTATCGCTCTCTCTCTCTCACACACATACACACATTCTCTCTCTCTTTCTCTCTCTCTCTCACACACACACAAACTTTTGTAATTATGTGATGCTATATGCTTAGCTTAAGAGAAGAGGAAGCTACATTCCAAATGTGGTGTTCCTAGCTCTTACAACTTAGGATTTCTTGAACAAACTCATAGACAGACACACAGACAGATGCCCAAATCTATTGGATATAGATGCAAGTAGGTAGATAGATAGTTAGATAATGTTTTGTGTCATGGTAGTGATGAGGCAGCCCAGTCATAGGGCCTCATTATGCTAAGAGCTGTGCAAACAGGACAAAAAGATGGTCTGTGCCCTGCCCCCAGAAGCTTACAACCTGCATATAAGACAAAAGGCAACCGATGGATACAAAGATGGAGAGAGTACAAAGTAGTTGTTTGTAAAAGAGCCTAACTGCTACCAGGCCGGTGTTAAACATTTATACAGCACTTACATTCTGAAATGCTTTAGAGACAACAGACAAAGCAATTGCCTGTGAGCTGGCTGCCAACAGACTAGAGAACAGTACAATCGCAGCACAGCAGACCCGTGGCTTTTGTGTTCCTTGTGATATAGAGGAGGCAGGACTCAGCTGTAATGAATTTAAAAGGGATTTTTTTATTGAGGCAATGACAAATATACAATAGCTGTGATTCTTTCAGGCTCAGTAGCTCCCAGTTTGGTTAATACAGCCTGTACTGCCTCATGCCACCTCACAGGATGGCTGCTGTATTGCACCCCAGAAGCACCTGCAATTCTTTGGGGAGTGAGTAATCACTGTACATGTAATCTATAAAGCTCTTTAGAATGAAAGGCATTTCAGTTAGTAACAATATTCCTTACTTCCTATTCCTACCAGTGACAGTGCTCTGTCACACAGCTACCACATTTCATGCCAGAGCTCCATGTCAGTGCTGAGTTAACAAGCCTTAAAATATGGCCACAAAGCACTTTGAAATGAGACACATTTCAATGAGAAAGACAGTCTCCTTCACTTCCTGTCCAAAACTGAGTACCTTTGCCAGACCTGAGGAAGAGCTCTGTATAAGAAGGAAAGCTTGTCTCTCTCATCAACAGAAGTTGGTCCAGTAAAAATGTTATCTCATCAGAACATGAGAGTGGCCATAGTGGGTCAGACTAAAAGTCCATCTAGCCCGTATTCTGTCTTCTGACAGGTGCCATTTATGGGGTCCAGGGTGACAGTCATCCCCCTCTCAAGTTTGAACCTCTTGACTTCATATTTGAAGTCTGCTCTAAAGCCCATGTCCTGACTCCAGAGGCAGTTCTTAAGCTGCTTGCAGCTTTGCCTTTGAGGCAGGGAGTCTGTTATAAAAAGAGGGAGGCAGGTGACTAAGAATAACAGAAGGCTGGACATTCAAGTCATTGAAGAATCGTTAGATCATCATGAAAACATTGCCCAGTACTCTACTTAAAAGATAGGGAGAAAAAAGAGTAGGAATGAGTGTTGTGCTGCAGGGATCTGTATTTGGACCACTTCTCATAAAAGTTCTTGAAGAAAAGGAAAACAGTGACTCATCCAAAGCTGATCTCAAAGAGTTACAAAGGTAGCTCACAAAACTGGGTGATTGGGCAAGATAAGGGCAGATGGAAGTCAGTGTTGATAAGTGCAAAGTAAAGCACATGGGAAAAGATAATCCTAACTATAGATACAAAAATGATGGGGTTGAAATTAGCTGTTACCACTCAAGAAATAGATCTTGGAATCCTTGTGGATAGTTCCTTGAAAAAATCTGTTCAATGTGCAGTAGCAGTCTAAAAAACTAAAAAGCCAACAGAATATTGGGAATCACTAGGAAAGGAATAGATAATAAGACAAAATACCATATTGCCTCTGCATAAAGTCATTGTATGCCCACATCTTGAATACTGTATGAAGATCTGGTCACCCGATCTAAAAAAAAGATATACTGGATTTGGAAAAGGCACGGAAAGGGCAACAGAAATGATTAGAACAGCTTCTATATGAGGAGAGATTAACAAGACTGGGACTTTTCAGCTTGAAATAAATGACCATAAGGTGAGGGGATATGCTAGAGGTCTAGGAAATCATAAATGGTATAGAAAAAGGAAATGTTATTCATTCCTTCACTCACATAACACAAGAAGATGACCCAATTACATTTATAGGCAGCAAATTTAAAACAAAGAAAATAGGTGACAGGGGATGGACCATGATGGTTGCTTCTTCCTTTTATTCCTTCTGAAGCACCTGGCATTGGTCACTGTTGGAAGACAGGATACAGGGCTTTGGGGACACAATCCCTGCTCATCCTGGCTAATAGCCATTGATGGACCTATCCTCCCTGAATTTATGTAGTTCTTTTTTGAACCCTGTTAAAGTCCTGGTCTTCACAACATCCTCTGGCAAGGAGTTCCACAGGTTGACCGTGTGTTGCATGAAGAAAAACTTCCTTTTGCTTGTTTTAAACTTGCTTGTTTCATGTGGAAACCCCTAGTTCTTGTGTTATGGGAAGGACTAAATAATACTTTCTTATTCTCTTTCTCCACACCAGACATAGTTTTATAGATTTCTAACATATCCCCCCCTTCATCGCCTCTTTTCCTAGCTGAAAAGTCTCAGTCTTATTAATCTTTCATCATATGGTAGTTGTTCCATACAATGGTGGGGTGACTGCCCCGCACTGGCTGGAAGGGATTAATGCAGGCTGGAGGGAGCCTGTACAGAACCCTGTCCAATGAGAGAGGGGCTTTTACAAGCCAATTAGGATGTGGCTTGCTGGGGCTGCCCTGTATATAAGGAACTGCCCAGTAGAGAGAGTCAGTTAGTTCCTGACCAAAGAAGGTGCAGGACTGCGGCGGTGTAGCAAGGGGCGCAGTTGCCTGCGGGCACCATGCTAGAGGGGCAATAATTTAGCTGCTGGGCCACCTGCCTGAAGACAAGCCGCTGAGGCAGGGCCGGGTGGTGGAAGCGGGTACTTCAAAGTCCTGCCCGGGAGCCCAGCACCCCTGGCTTGGGAGTCGCTGCCAGCACTGATGCACAGTTTGGTGCAGTTTTGCCTTTGTCCCCACCCAGGGCACATAAACACCCTCACTACGCCACTGCAGGACTGGTTCCCTGAGAAGCGCCTTCAGGAGAGCAGTGCTGGGCAGGCTCACAGGAGCTAGAGAGGGAGGCTCCAGCCTGATACCAGCCAGGCTGCAGGCCTTGCTACTAAGGCCAGGAGGGTGCAAAGGGCCACAGGGGAATTGGCCTATGGAACAGAAGGCAGTAAGGGGAGTGCAGGAGGGCAGGACAAGGCTGCCACCAGAGGGTCCCTGAGTCGGAACCCAGAGTAATAGACGGGCCTGGGTCCACCCCCGCCCCCGTGCACCACACCTTGCCACTACGGCTTGGCCTATATAATCTGTGGCTTGCCCCTGTGACAGAGGGGCTGAGCTTGGAGGACATATCAGCCACAGAGGCAATAGAGACTCAGGATGGCTGATAAACCCCCAGAAGGGGGATGAGAGATTACTGTTGTGGGCATTGCCGGAGGGCAGTGCCCCAAAAAGGACACCGCGGTCTGGGAGCAACATGGATCCCAGACAGGGGAGACACCAGCCCGAGGAGGCACCCTGTGGACTAAAGGACTAATTCCCCTGAGCTGCCAGCAAGAGGCACCGCAATGGTGAGCCTGCCCCATGACATATGTCTCTAATCATTTTTGTTGCCCATTTCTGAACCTTTTCTAATTCCTATATATCTTTTTGACATGAAATGACCACATCTGCACACAGTATTCCAGATGTGGGCGTACCGTGGATTTATAAAGGGACAATAAGATACTGCATTCTGTTTTATTTTGTATCCCTTTCTTAATGATTTCTAACATTGTTTGCTTTTTTAATTGCTGATGCCCAGTGAATGGATAGTTTCATAAAACTATCCACAATGACTACGAGATCTCTTTCTTGAGTGTTAACAGCTAATTTAGACCCCCTTAATTTGATATATATAGTTGGGATGATGTTTTCCAGGGTGCATTACTTTGCATTTATCAACATTGAATTTCATCTGCCATTTTGTTGCCCAGTCACTCCATTTTTTCATCCATTTTGTCTCCCTAATGAACATTAATAAGAGTAAACTTAAAAAACAACAAATGGTCTGGTAGCACTTTATAGACTAACAAAAGATGTAGATGGTACTCTGGTCATCTGAAGAAGTGGGCTGTGCCCACAAAAACTCATGATACCATCTACATCTTTTGTTAGTCTATAAAGTGTTACCAGACCATTTGTTGTTTTTTAAGTTTATCCTGTACGGACTAACTCGGCTACCCCCTGAAGCTTTTAATAAGAGTGGTGAGCACCTCTGCATCCCACTTTCAGAAAAAGTCAGAATTGTTTTGTTATTAAACAACATTTTCTTCCTATCTATTGGGAGTATCCTATTCTTAGGTCAATTCTACACTTAAACTGATGCAGCTGCACCACCTTAGCATGTTAATGAACACACTCTGGCTACGTCTACACTGGCCCCATAAAACGGAATAGTCATGCAAAGCAGGTAAGTCAGAATAGGGAAATCCGCGGGGGATTTAAATATCCCCCGTGGATTTAAATAAACATGTCCACCACTTTTTTTCCGGCTTGGGGAAAAGCCGGAAAAAAGCGTTTAGACTGGCGCGATCCTCCGGAATAAAGCCCTTTTCCGGAGGATCTCTTATTCCTACTTGCACAAGAAAGCTCTGATGGCCATTTTAACCATAGGGTTTTCTTGCGCAAGAAATTCATGTTGCCTGGCTACGCTGGCCTCTTGCACAAGAACAGTTGCGCAAAAGGGCTTATTCCTGAGTGGGAGCATCAGAGTTCTGGCACAAGAAGTCCTGATTTCATACATTAGAATGTCAGTTTACTTGCGCAAGAACATGCGGCCAGTGTAGACAGGCAGCAAGTTTTTGCACAAGAGCGGCCGCTTTTGCGCAAGATCGCGCCAATGTAGACACAGCCCATGAGTTTAATTTCCTCCTTGATCTAACTGACCTTGTCATCTGTTGTGCTGGTGAGACTGTCTCTTTGTCTCAATATGCATAACTGAGATTGCAATTCATCCCTAAGAATCAGAACCTAGCGGAGTGGTCTGTGTCTTTTAGAGCCAGCTGTATTTTGGGTCTTCACTCTGAAGGTCACAGCACAGACTTTTTTTTTTCCATGTTGCAAAACTGGGAAGTGACTAGTTCCCTGATATTTAAATAGACAATGCCCTTATGCTGGCATCCAGGGATATTTCTTGCCAAATGCCTTGTTGACTCTGCCTCTGCACTCTTTTTATTCCATTTTCTTCATCAGTGTAGAGATGCATATCTCCACCTGGCATTTGGAAGTCAGGTCTGATTCCCTGTGTGTGTGTGTGTTGTGTGTTGTTTTTTGTTTTGTTTTGTTTTGTTATGACACTTAAAATGAGGCTAACTAATGCACTGGGAAATATAGTGAAGGGGACAACTTTCTTCGGCCCGGAGGAACGGATTAGGGACTCGGGGTAATTTTAATAAAAAACTGAGATTTTCATATCTTGGGTTGGGTTCTAAAGAGCACACAAGGCAGGTTAAAGGAGGTGAGTAGCTCAAAGATGGAATAAAGCTTACTTTTGTTCTTCCCCAAACAAGAGGCTACTGTGTATATGGCTGGTCCATGGAGTAAATCAAAGCAGCAGCACAAACAACCTCAAGAAACCAAAACGGTAGCTGGAGTTTGGTATAGGGCATAGGTCTCCTGGTAATACCCCCATTTCTTTGGCCACACCCACTAAGTGGACATTTGGGAGGGGAATGGCAAAAATTCATGATATCAGGTCTCCACCATGGAAGAATTCCCCTACACTGCAGCAACCAATTATGCTAGCTTCACAGGTGGGGTCTGCTAGCAGTCCAGTGCAATATGGCCACATAACATCACAGGATCTGTTCCCTAAATTCTATAATTAAGTGATACATGACTGTATAGACCGCTATTTAATTTATAAGAATTTTTGCCTGCGGTTGGCTTTGGAAGATTAATATTTATAGCTACCTCAAGAACACAATGTGTAGCTAATATGTTGTAAAACCAAACTAGACATAAAGCTTTCACTAATGAAGGTACATAGTCAGCCTTCTCAATAACTAAAGGAAAACATATTTTCTCTTAAAAGACAAATTTCAACTTTGGGATGAAATGCAAATAAACCTGCCTATGAGCTAAATAGAAAGGGATCTATAAACAAGAAAATGTTTTTCAATGCAAAATCTAGGATTGAATATTACTCACAAAGTTCTTTCTACATCCTGAGATGATCTTATTGGAGAATGGCTTAAAAAAAAAGCCTCACAAACCAAATTACAGAAATAATCCAAACACCTCCAAAGTAAGGAAGATATTTAAATAGTCAGAACTTACCCATCCACAAGGAGAACAGGCAAAAAGGTACTGCGTAAACACAGAATTTCCCAGCTTGCTGTTTCATAGTTGCTGAAGTGTATAGTTACTTTGTCCTTCCCTGTCCCTCAGTTTGTATGGACAAAAACATCTCTCTCTCTCTCTCTCTCTCTCTCTCTCTCTGTTGTTGCAACAGGATTTTGCATTCTACTCAATGAAAGTCACACTTTCTAAAGTTACTACAGCTTCAAGTTCACAGCATGATACCTGAATGACTGCCACATTTTAACTCGTTATAGTGGCTTCCCTGCCATCAGAATGCAGAGAGGACAACAACTATTCTCTTTGGGTACATCTACACAGCAACGTGCATTTCTAAATAACTTAGTCCGTGCCTACACAGAAGGCAGTTATTTTGAAATAAGGTCGAAATACTGTCAAGCTGGAGAACTTCTTACTCTGACTCCTGTAACCCTCATTGCATGAAGAGTAAGGGAAGTCAGAGGAAGAGTGCTCTATTTTGAAATAAGTGCTGTGTAGATGCTCCCAATTTCGAAATAAGCTATTTTGAAATAAGCGACACAAGTTACGTAGCTCAATTTGCGTAGCTTATTTTGAGTTAAGCCCTGCTGTGTAGATGCACCCTTTATTGCTTTGGACTTGTATATAGCAGCACCAGAACCTGGAGCTGATGACTGGCTATTCAACAGAAGGGTCCCTTTCTATGAAGCCCCATATGGAAGTGAAAAAGAACCATAGGCTGGATTTTCTCAGTGGCTGGGCCTTAGTTCCTATCGATTCCATTGGGAGTTGTGGATAGTCAGTGCTTCTGAAAATCTGGCCATATGTGCTATGTGTGGGATGAAAATATCTCCCCTCCCCCCCACAAGTATTTTTTTGAGGGTAGTAGAAATCCTGATTAACCAAATGTTGGTTAATGCCAACCCATGTTAACAGAAGCTTGGTTATGGGTTATATCCCTGAGGGATGGGAAAGGGGGCTGAAAATAGCAGACCTGTCTGCAGAATTGACAAAGGTACTATTTTGTTGTTTGTGGAAAGTAAAGCCGGGCTCGCACATAGGAACAGGTCCAACACTATTTTACAGGAAGAATTTCAGCAGCCAGCTTCACATGCTGCAACAGCTCACTCAGTACCCAGTCATCCTGCTGACAGTATTACAGCTGCATGGTGGACACACCACACCAGCTGCCTGCCTGGCATCTCTTCCCTGAGCTCTGGATTGGTGACCTGCCTTCAGATTTCTTGACGCCTACTGGCTCTCTTTCCTATGCCCACGGTGAACGGAAGATTTTGGCTGTTCCTCCTTTAAATAACTGGGAATGTGCTCTTATAGTCTGGTGAAGATCTTGTGATATTTGGTGTGTTTCTTAAAGGCACAGCTCCTGGAGTCATGTGATTATGAGAGCGCTCAGCTTTCACTTAAAAAAAAATTGCAGCCTGATTGGTTGGGAAGAAAAGCTTGAAAACATCAAAGCTAGCAGTTCAAAGCCCAGAAGGCAAATCAAAAGAAGGCAGATTATATTTTTAAATCAATCCCATGATTTTTGAATGCTTCATATTAGCCATACTGGCATTGACTTGTTTGCTCCAGCAGCTGGATGGAGACGCAACTCACAGAGATTGTTATCGTGTTGAGCAATGTGTCACTGGATGACTGCCAGAGCACTGCCGTTTATGGCCCATATGCTTTCCACAGCAAAGGCCTCAAATAGCCTCCCTGGAAAGCAGAAAGAGAAGTAGATTTCTCTGGCTGGAGCACATGGAGGCTTCGCTGTCCCAGGACAGGCAGTGCTGCCAAGTTTGAGGAGAAAAAAATGAGTTTGGATGAGCAGGGCTCTGCTGGAAGAGGGGATGTGGGGGAGGACCCCAAGGGGAGGGAGTAGAAAAGGTTGAGTTATGTTGGCAGAGGAGGCTCGTGGAGGAGGGCAGGGGAAAGAGGCTGTATTGAGAGGCTGAAGATGGGGGTGCAGGCTGTGCCGTGTGGGTCAGTTAAAGCGAGGTAAGTACAAGTGTAACCCTTTTGACACTGCTGGTCTACACAAATAGCCAAGGAAACAAAATGGCTGCCAAGCATGGCGGAGGACGGAACCCAGAGTGGTTACTAAGGCTGCTAGAGGGAGCCATGTGAGTGCACCAGCTGTTTGTGGGGAGCCGATAGGAGCAGCCCTGCGGAGAGATGGCATCACAGGTGGGAAACTTGTGTTCTGGCAAGAGAGACCTTTGGGGCCAAGATTGAAGCTGGAGGGAATGGAACCTGCCAAGTCTCCTTTGAGCCCCCCACTAGGTAACATTGCTGCATGGTTGTTGCCTCCCTTAGGCCAGGATGGGGATTGGGGACCTCAGGGCAAAGGAGTTGTGGAGGAGAAGACCCACAGCACCTGCTATTCACCACCCTATCAAATCCCAGTCGCCCTGACCCCTTACATGCCATACCACCCATAACTACACACTGGCCTCACCCTATGATTGTATCCCATGCCTCCCCAGTCTACTCCATCAGCAGGACCATCCCACCGCAAATAACTAGATGCTTGATATATTGTTTTCCTCCCCACACAATTTAAGGAATCCCTGACCCCCCTGCAGCCTGTCCTCACTGATCCACTAGTCACTGAGTCTACGTTTACACTGCAATACTATTTTGAGATACCCTGAAATATCCTGAAATAGCTATCCCACACCTTCACAGCAAGCCTGTTATTTCAGGCTCACTATTCCGATGGCTCTGTAAACCTCATTCTACAAGAAGTAAGGGATGTACAGAGCCAAATGGCGAAATAAGCTATTTCAAAATAACATCAAAATCAGATACACAATTTGTGTAGCTCAAATTGCATATCTTATTTCGAGTTATGGTGCAGTGTAGTCACACCCTCAGGTGGAAATTTTCTTCCTTGTCACACTGCTCAATTTGGGTATGTCTACACTAGGGGACAAAGTCGAATTAAGATTCGCAACTTCAGCTACTTTAATTGTGTAGCTGAAGTCGAAGTAACTTAACTTGGCTTTTGGAGCTGTCTACGCTGCAGGAAGTTGAAGGAAGAACACTTCCTTTCACTTCCCTTACTCCTCATGAAATGAGGGTTACAGGAGTTGGAGTAGGAAGCCTGTTATTTCGAAATTATTTCAAAATAACAGGCTTGCTGTATAAACGCACACTGTGTTATTTAGAAATAACCTGAGTTATTCTGAAATAAAGCAGCTGTGTAGACATGCCCTTTGTGTTTATAATGTAGGGATCTGAAAGCACAAGTTTGTAGGCATGTATTTTCAAATGTGCCCACTAATGCTGTGTCCCTCTCTTTGTGGGCATCCAACTTGAAACTCCCCTGGACTGATTTTCAGAGGTGCTGGGCATTCATTGCACTCCAATAGAAATCAGTTGAAATTGTCTCCAGAAAGGTCCCCCAAAACTGAGGCTATGTGTAGACTACACCGATCTATTGGAAAAAGATACACAAATTGCACTCTGGATTTTCGTATCTTTTTCCAACAGTTTTTTTGGAAGAGGTTTTTCTGAAATTTGGCCCATCTACACTGGAAAAGCCTCCTCTTTCGGAATAGCCCTTCAAATTTTTGGAAAAGCCTCATCTTTTGGAAGAGCCCTTCTTTCTTGTGGGGGAGGAAGACATGGCTTCCAAAAGAGCACGTCTGTTCTTCTGCAAAAAAAAAAAAAGCGGAAGAGCAGACGCATTATTCCCTGGACGCAGTGGAGTTTTTCCAGGATAGGTCCAATATCCCAGAAAAACCCTATAGTGTAGACATAGCCTGAGTATATACAATTATGGTAAATTTTGGCCTTTATTGATAAAAATACTGACTAGACACACCTATATTAAGAATATGGGTTAATACTAACACACACATTCAGCTGGAAATGAAAGTACTAAAAATCTGATCTACTTTTCATCTGCTGTTCATGTTCTTTGTTTATTTTACTCAGTTCAGACAGTGAGAAAAGGCTGGATTTTCTTTTTTAATTCTTTTACATATGTTATAACTTTTAATAATAAATGAGACAAACAATTAACTATGTTTTGTCCAGCATCTAGCACAATGGTGCTCCTAAATGCTACTGCAATACACACTATACATAAAGACAATAATGAAAATTAATAGCCACCTGATTCTAGGGGATGTCTTCAGGCATAAAAGAGAGAGAGAAGTGTGTTTGTGTGTTTCTTTACTTTCATAGGTAAAGTACATATACATCAATTGCCAAATAGATCTACTTGAGAGAGTCTCTATTTTTACTAGACACACACCAAGTATGATAGAGATACATGACATTTTAAAGACATTTAAACAAGTCCATCCTGCTCCTATTGAAGTTTGTAGCAAAATAACAAACATATAGTGCTTCAGAGGGGTAGCCGAGTTAGTCTGTAACAGGAAAAACTTAAAAAACAACAAATAGTCTAGTAGCACCTTAAAGACTAACAAAACATCAAGGTTTTGTCTACACTGGCGCAATCTTGCTCCAGACATATGCAAATGAGGCTAAGCGTGGAATATTGCAGAGCCTCATTTGCATATGTAATGAGCCGCCATTTTGCGGAAGAGGCTCTTGTGCAAGAAGGAGTGTGTATACTGCCCCTTTTTGCGCAAGAAAAACCCTCTTGCGCAATGCCATTACACTGATTATTTTCAGGAATAACGGCATTGCGCAAGAGGGTTTTTCTTGCGCAAGAAGGGGCAGTGTACACGCTCCTTCTTGCGCAAGAGCCTCTTCTGCAAAAATGGTGGCTCATGAGATATTCAAATGAGGCTCAGCAATATTCCATGCTTAGCCTCGTTCGCATATTTCTGGTGCAAGATCGCACCAGTGTAGACAGTCATAGATGGTATCGTGAGCTTTTGTGGGCACATCTGAAGAAGTGGGTTGTGGCCTGCAGCCCACTCCAGTGCTCTTTCCACTAGCCCATGCTGCTTCCCAAAAGTGGACATGATCACGGCTTGAGGCAGCACAATTCCAAAACTCCATTTGCTTTCTGTGGGAGCAGTGTTGGGCCCTAAATGAGATCACAGTAATAGATGACAGACAAAGGCTGGGGAACATGAGAAGACTGGGGGTTAAAATACACCAACCAGTATGAGAAATGCTTTGTACAAGTCTTGTTGGTTGC